AAATATTTACAGTTACATAGCAAATTTAAATTAATTTCTCTCATTTTGCCCTGCAGTCTTCAGGTTTTACTGTGTGAAGTAACGAACCTTTTATTTTGTAAATCAGCATACCAAAGACACTGGTGGTTTAGAAAAAGCAGTTTGTGTTGGTTGATGACTTTTTAAAAGATTTGTTTTTATTAACCAATTTAAGATTGTATGTACATGTATGTTGTGTGTGGATATGTGCACCAGAGAGAAGGTGTAGGTTTGCTAAGAACTTCTTACTGGTGATTGGGAACCGTTCTATGTGAGTTCTGGGAACTGAATTCATACCCTCTTGAACAGCAGATGTGCTCCTAACCACTGAGCCATCGCCCATTGTCACAGGTGGGATTACTGATAAAAGGGATCCATTTTCCTTTCTCTTTAGATCATGGCATATACAGAAAGTAAAGACAGTTAGCCACCAGCTGTACTACAGGTTGGTGTCAGTGGTTATTAAGGCTAGACATTGCAGACCAGACCACAGAAGCTGATACCACAGAAGTGCTTTGCCATATATTTTCTTACCTAATAGCTGTTGTATCCTTGCCTATAACCCACTTAGTTTTGGATCATGTATGATATATTCTTATAGTTCATAATGTACTTTAAAATATAACTAAATGAAATGGTATGCATGTTTCGTTGAATTAAAAAAAGTCTTAATATATAAGAAAATGAAAGTCTAGTTCTCTAATAAAACAGATTTTTAAAACATAGCTTGTGAGTATAATTTAATCTTAGTGTCCTGCAAAGTCCTGCTTTTAGTATATGCTCTCAGAAGTGAACTGTTTGTCAGATTTCCATTAAGGTGAAAGTGAAAAATTAATGAACCAATTACTTAGGATATTTCAAACTAATGCAAGTCTATTACTCATGCAGCACAAAAACCATCAAAGATTTAGGAATGCTAAATTTTGCTTTTAGGTTCACTCATATTCAACTTTTAAATCCATTATTTTATATGCTTAATAGAGCATCTCAGAGGAAAATAGAAGTTGAGTATTCATTTTTATTAACTGATAAATATATTTAAATATGCTTTATTTATTGAAATGTTTTCATCTACCAATGATTGCTTTTGAACAGGATTAATCAGTGAATCAGTGGGAACAAATAGGCTTTGGAAATATATTTAGGGTGTCTTCTGGGGAGGCAAGAGCTTGCTAAGAATAAAACATGATCATAATGTGAGTAGAGACACACAAACTTTTCTTTATTTGTGCCCCTGCTCCATTCATAGGCTCCCCAAGACCGAGAAAGATGTAATATTTTTCAAACAATTGTTGATTTGTTTGTCTTTCTCAAATTTTTGACCCCTTGACAATGTGCTATGCACCACTTGTCATATTTTAACAGGAAAGGGGAAGTAATTTTATTTAATCATTATGTTAACTGGAAATGAAAACAGACCAAAATAGTGAAGAGTTAGAGATGGGATAATTATCAGTGGAAACTTACTGTAGGAAATGGCCTTGAGCTGAACTTTGCAGAAAGTGAGTGTCTTAGACATGTGTGATGATCTCAAAACAGGTTTGGTGGAATGAATGGCTTAAGTCAATTCACAGTAAATTTAGATCACAGAGTACACAGAGGGACAAACTGGGCATTAGTAGATATTGTGTGAATATTGGCAACCCAGGACTTAAGATTATTTGACATGTGGTATGTATGACATCATTCATGACCTTAAGTTTTATTTGCTATTGGAAATATACCAATCTCTGACATCCATGACAACTTTGCAATCACAGATTTCAAATTGTCAGGGATGTAAGGCAGAATTTGCCTTGTAAGTATGAGGGAGTGAGCTGGAAGGCAAGAATGTGTGTTAAAAAGTCAAATGAAGTAATGGATGCTTGTGAGTTGGACCCCTGGGGCTCTCTTGCTGGCAAGTCTTGTCTACTTGGCAAATTCTAGGCCAGTAAGAGACATTGTCTCAAAAAACAAGGTGGAAGTAAAAGGGACAGAAGAAAGAGGATGGAGTGAGGTCTACAGAATTGGTTGTCTTATCTACGAAGCTGACAAAAAGCAAATTTGAAAAGATGCAAGAAAAAAGAAAAACATCACTAGGTAGATGAAAATAATACAAAAGCAGCAGCATTCACAGGAATATCAATAGAGTGGTCTTAAAATGAAGGTGAAAATTAAACAGCTAGGCGGGATGGGGACTAGAGAGGTTGGAGGGAGACAGTGGTGGATGGAATATATATTAATATATTACATATATTACATAGTGTATAGAATTTTTCAAAATAAAATAGTACTATGTTTAAAGATACTGTTCCATGTGCAATTAAAATACCCAGGTCACAACTGAGTGGGAAGGGCACACATGGCGAGTCATAGTATGTGGGCTGTTCCAAAACTTCCCAACTAGCCACCCAGGTATGGTCTGTGTTTGAGGACATGAACCATCTTGGCCCAAGGTAGAGCCTGGAGCAAAGGAGGACTGGTATTGGCTAAAAGCAACTTCCTGAAACCTGCATATCACTGTCATCTTGACACAACAGGCTACATGATTCCTAACATCATGTCTGTGAACCGTGCATGTCCTGGCTTGTAAGCATATGACCTGTGCAGTCTCAGGGTGTCCTTTCTGAAAGGTCCCACACTTGATTTAAACTATGCTGTTGCCATATCAAAATTTTTCCTGCTTTTCCAACTAGCAACCCTCCAATGTCACTTTGTTCTGGGCTCTGCAAATTTTACAGCTTGTCATAGTCTTTGACATGAAACAGTCAAGGAGCAGTGAAGTTCACTGTGGTCAAAGTTCACTGACATGCATGAGCATAAGGTAATAACGGAGACCCAAGACCAGTCCTGTGCTTCTCCAACAAACTGGTTCTCAGTTTAAATCTTTATTACTATATCCTCAAAACCACAGCTTCTATAATAGCCACAGCCTTAAGCAAAGTATCATTTTTTCGTTTTGTGATTTTCCACAAGATAAATTTTAAAAGTGGTTCACAAACATATTTTCTCATGTATAATCTGCTTCCTGGAACCTGGTTACCAGGATTATGGAGGCCTGTACCACCTGTGGACAGATTAAATTAAATTCCAAGTAAACCTCCAGGAATCATTTCCCTATTAAAGTTCTGAAAATGTGGTACTGCATTCTAAAATGTAACTGTCTGAATTCAACTGTGAATTTCCTTTTCTGAGTCAGAACATAGTTTTCCCGGGTGTTTTGTTGTTGACTTGAGCACATTTGCCCTATTGTCTCCTCTGAGTATGGCGTGTATTGTCGTAATTATTTTCTTATCAGTTTTTTTATTTGCATTTTATTAAAATTATAGATAAATATAGTTCATTACTTATCCAAATAGTCCAAAGAGGATTGAATTCCTAAAATTATCTTGTTCCTCTGTCCCCTTCTCTTGATTTCTCCAGCGTGTGCAATTGAATTGGTTTCAGCATCTTTTCCTGTCACCCGTGTTCTATAGTTTACTTCTCGCTCCTCCAGGTGTTTCAGGCACATCACTTTTATTATTCAATGTGTGTGTGCATGTGTAGGCACATATGTACATGAAGTGAGCTTGTACATATGCATGTGCATATGGAAGTTGGTGATATCCTTGGATGTTGCTTTTTAAGCTCTTGTCTTTTTTTTTTTTTTTAAGAAATGGGGGTTCTCATGGGAGGCCTGGAACTTGTGAACTAGACTAGGCTGCCTCGAGGAATTCTCCTGTCTCTGATGTGATTCTAAATGTATGCCATAATACCCACATGCCTTCCCTACCCTCCCTTAACATGAGGACTTTGGTGAACAAACTCATGTTCTTACATCTATAAGGCTAGTATTTCCCATATGAGTCATCTTGCTAGACCTGTATTTCAGTTTTTTTTTTTTTTTTTTACAAAATCTATGGTCCTGTTAAAGCTAATCACTGTCTTCAGATAATACTTTTTCCCTGTATCACTGGGAAATCTTTAAATCCTAACGCTAATCTTACTGTCCATATTCCCTGGAGTCCTTAGCTCATATCTGTTCATTCTGCATATATCCCCATTCATTCTGCTGTCCTGGAGGTTCTCCTCAGCTTCTTGGTCTCTGCTCACAGCTTTGTTCTTCTGTGCAGATGCCTTTGGTTGAAAGCTTATTCTCAGGAATGGTCAAATTAAGTTGATTTTAGTTTTGGATGGATGTGGGTAATAGTCATTGACCATAAGCTTAGATGTGGGAGTTCTTGGACAAGTTTGTTTTTTATCAGTGGTCTTCTGATTTTCATTCATTTCAGAAGATATTTTCTACTGGTATGCTCTTACCTGCTACTAGCAAATGCTCCATTGTCTGAAGGCATTGGGCACAGAGTTAACCATGTGAATTCTCAGACATCCTAATAGTATCCTGCTTAACAATGGTAACTTTCTTGTAATCTGAAGCCTCCCTCTTCTTCATCTCCCCATTTCCCACTGGCATGATGAAGGGCTAGGCAGCCACACTGTGTGTACAAGAAGCAGAGCCCTTCTTCACACCATGTTTCATAGGCTCCCCTTCTATATCCTGTCAAAAGTTGCAGGAGTTTCCAGTGCCTGGACCTTCCGAATTCTGTGCTACAAGCCACACTCCTTCTCAGTCTCCTCACCACAACTTCAGTTCCAGCCTCCGAGATCACTCACTATGTTTGCTGCTAAGGTTTCAGCTCCTGCAGTCCAGCTCCCTCTGCTGTCTTGGTTCCCATGCATTTCTGTGTGTCCATTCCTTTCTTGTTACCCTAGTGAGGCACAGTGGTAGAACTGGTGGAAGGGTCTGTGTGAGTGGTTGATGGAGAAAGACAAGGTTATTCAGACCAAATAATTTTATAATGTTTCCAATCATTTTAACAAGCAGAATTTAATTGAGGAGGAAATAAACAAACCAATATAAACTTACTACTAAACATTTATACACTTGATTGCAAAGAACTTGTCTATGATTATGTTCAGTTTCTGTTTGCTAAGGATTTGGGTTTTTTCTTTTTTAAATACAGATGGAAGCTTTAGACACAGCCGACCAAACCTCACCTCTCTGTTAGTGCAGCCTATCTCGGTATCCTTCGCTAAAAAACTCATTCCTTTGCCAAAACTGAGAATGGATGATGATGCCTGTCGCCCTCTAGAACTTCCACATAATGGTAAGGTAACTTGTGCTTCTTTGCATCTGCTGAAGACTTTAAGAACTTTGATCATTTTTTTTTTTAATCTCTTGAAAGGTTGATAATTATTCATTTCAAAACTACTGACTTTTGGTAGGAGGGGATCTGTCGCATTCTGTGTTTCTATAAGGATAAGTTTGGAAGGTAATTTTGCTTAAGATCTAAGAGATTAATGAAGCTGGGATACTTTTTCAAGGAGAAAAGGGGGAGTTTGAGTTGTTCCAAAGAAAAGGAGCTTCACAAACAAAGCATTTGTACATGCATGAAAATCTGCTTAACATGGCTTCACTGGCTCAGCTCTGGAGGGCTCGATGCCTGTCAGGGTTCAGTGGATAGCTGTGGCTTTCTGGCAGTCTTGCTGTCTGCCAAGATCAGTGAATAGCAGCAGCTATCTGGGGTATGAAGTCTTTTAGTATAAAGCATTAAAGCCTAATTCCTGCAATTGACTAAAAAATCCCTCTGTCTATACGCATCATCGCCTGGGAGATGCTTCTCGTTCAGAGGTGCAGTTTGTCAGGCCTTGTTGGACTTTGCAGGATAAAACTGAAGCAGTTAAGCTACCTGTGGTGGGATGAAAGCATGGGCTGCACCTTTTTTCCTGCCTTCGGCTTCAGCATTAAAGTTCTGAAAAAGAGACAGTCTTTACATGTTGTTAAATGTCTCTGGCTACTGTGAACTAAGATTCTGGTCCTTTGGATTTGTGTGTGACCAGATCTGGGGCGCTATGCACTAGCAGTGTTTTATATCATCTGTTTTTCTCCTAACAACTATAGTATTAAAGTACATTTTGAAGAAAAGATTTGCAAAGTCAAGACTCCTAGATGTTAGAAACATATGAACTTTTCAGTGTGTGTGTATGTGTGTGGAGGTGGGGGTGGGGGTGGGGTGGGGTACGAGTCTGCATATGTATGCATATGCCACAGCATATGTATGGATAGGAGAGGACAACCTTTTGGAGTTAGTTCACTCCTTCCAGCAAGTGAGTTCTAGGATCAATCTCATCAGCTTGGGGTCAGGGGCTCCTCCTGCTGAACCATCTCTGCTGCTCTGATTTTGTTAATTCAATGATGAGTTTATGCATTTTATAACTATCCACCTTTCGGGGAACTGATATTTCCTGTGATGACGTTGTAGTCTCTCAGCTCACTTCTGCAGGAGATGCCCTGTGCTCAGCTCTACAGATCATAGAAAAGCCACCTTTGTTAGAATCAAAGGTGAATATATGCCCCAGCACTTCCGTAAACTGCAAATGCTGTGTGTATTAATGAGCCTCTTATCAAATGACAACATCAACTGCCTTCTTGACAGTGAAGTGTCTTAACAACATGGAATAACGCTCTCTAGCTACACCTCCAACATGAAGTTCAGCATATGAGAAGCCAGGAAGGAAAGTAAAGATTGAGAATTAAAACTTCATAATTCCAGTGTTAAAGAAGCAAATGAAAGATCTGCTAAGAAATTATGTCACATAAGGTTTTCTCATGTAGTAATTATTATTATTATTGTGTTAGACAAATTCAAATGTTCTTAAGGATAGAGAAGAATTTGGTGTTCATATGAAGCTTTCATTTTTCAGAAAACAGACTCTTACATTTATATTTTCCAGATAGTGAATGAGCATACTACGAGTTTGTGTGCTTGAGTTTAAATTTATCTTAAACAGAAGATAATGACATATCACACCAAAGTTCTGTGTAGAACTTTTTTATGACTCATCCATGATAACTAACTTTTGAGTGTGTGATATACTCCTAAAATTGTAATAATTGCTTATGTTGATGTATGTGTAAAGGTATAAAAATACTAAGAGGGTTCTTTACTTTGAACAAGAGCCACACCACTAGTTTACAAATTAACAATAATGTAAAATACAATACAGTTTAATTTTGCCCTTTTATTGAGTATTCCAAGTATAGTCAAACTACAGTTAGAAAATCTTAATTGATCAAGGTTGAGAAATTGGTAAATGTATGTACACATCAAGCAATTATTTATTTTATTTATTTAACTCACTGTGACAATGAATCAGGATTCTCTAAAACCTAGGCCAAAATGCAGCCAAGTTTCTCCATTACAAATGCTTTATCGACACCTTTACCCTTCATATTTTTGAAATTTGTCACCATTTTACAACAACGTATGGTAAGTAGGTTTGAGGGTTCTATAAACTCTACAGATGGACCTGATTTGCTCAAACCTATTGATCTATTCCATCTTATAAGACTTCTCCCAGTAGAGAAAAACCAAGATTCATTTTCTGAACTTTATTTGAGCAATGACCCATTTTAACACTAGAAGAAAATGAAAAAGCAGGTAACTCAGGGATCTTCTTCATCACTTGGACCATGGTAATGTATAGTGCTGGTAAATGGAGCCAGTGGGGAGTTGAGTTAGCTGAGTAAGGGAGGAAGGTACAGCTGGAGACAGAGAACGAAGTCAAGAGTAAATGGTAGAAATACACGAAGGGATTCCTAACCACTAAATGAAGCAGTCATATCTAAAGCTAAACCCATTGAGCTGGCCATAAATGCAAGTCAATATATTTCCTTTGGAATGTAATAACTTTGCATTTGCTTTTCAGTTACTGATAACCAAAAGCTATCTAAACAGTATAGATGCTGAAAGCTTCAAAAGGAAATAAAAATGCCAGCACTCATGAAATAGGTTCGGGATACGTAAGGAAGAGATTTGGGCATTCTGTGGAGACTCCTGAGGGAAGCAATCCAAAGAGCCAGAAGCACTGCTTTTGCCTAAACAGAAACAGATTGCATTGATTAAACCATTGGATATCCTGGGTTTGCTTTCTTTGGTCTCTCTTTGGAGAGCCTATCTGCTAATCTAGTATGTTCTCAGTCATTTTACTTGAGGTTTAGCCAGAGAAAAGAAACCTTAGTGTCAAATAGTAATTTGCGCTCCTGTTTAAGTTATGTGAATACAGTGAAAACATTGAAATGACAAACTATAAAATAGAGTAATATAACATGTGGAATATATACATACCTCAGGCTTAAAGGAGGAAATTTGATAAACTTGATTAATTTAATATTCAAAGGGAGAATGTTTGTTGGATGCTGTATCAATCCTGCCAATGAAGACAAGTTTGTGCATAAGTAAACTATGTAAAACACAAACCTATCTGCTTCAATAGAAAGGGAAATGGTGATGTAGCTCTGATTTCCTTATTCATAATTGGACAAATTCTCTGTTGAAAATTAACTTCATTAGAATAATATAGCGATACTTAACTCATAATATCATTTATGCTTTTTACAAGTTTCAAATGTGTTGTAAATAGCTATCTTTTTAATTTGTTATTGTTTACTTAAAAGAATTCATTTACATTTCTTTAGCAGATATTTCACTATATATTTAATATTAATGTTAAAAATTGTGATTATGCAACAAAAATCAACAAATAGTTCATGTTAACCATTCAAAATATAGTTATTAACTATAAATGTTCATTCACTTAGATCCATAAGTATTTTTTGCTACATGTGAAGCTAATGGAATTAACAATAATGTTGCTCCCTGAGAAGAAAATCTAGGAAACTCTGTGTATATATCATTACAATTTGTTGACGATCATTTATCCATCCTGTGATACAACATGTATTCTGAGACACTGTATTATTATAGAACTGATAGACTGACATCTCCATATATTATTCCAACTTTTTGACCATACAAAGGAGAAGAATGTAAATAGGCTATTTTTTTAAAGAAGAAAAATTATGAATATGTTTTGCAGTAGGTTTGGTATGCTAGTCACTTTTCCAACACTGAAACAGAAATATTTGAGATGAAGTAGGATTGTTTGGTTTTTCTAACAGTGATAGGGTTTGTGGTCAGTTTGCCTTGTTCCATTGTCTGTGGTGACAAATCATTGAGGAATCTATCAGACAGTTGCTAATGAAAGCAGAATGAGGAGAAAAGTGGGAGGTGACTCTCTCTCTTCCACAGGTATCTCTGTCTATCAACCTTGCTGCTACTAGGCCCACTTCCTGAAAGTTCTATTGTCTTCCAAAAGCATCACAGAGTAGAGACACACATAGACCATAGAGCGTTCTTAACCAGACTGTAGTGAATTACTTCTAGTCAAACAGTATGGAAAAAAATACCCAGGAAAAATGGGCATCATTTTCATTTGTGTACATAACTCTATATAATATACATATGGGTAAATTCAATGTGCTTGGATACATAACTCTATATTTCATGCATATGGGTGAAATCAGTGTGCTTGTGTACTCAGCTCTATATGGAAGCTCTATCTGGCTTACATATAGGTAAAATCAATATGCTAGATAACATTAGTAAAGGCACCTCTGGCCAGGAATGAAGGCTGCATGTTAGGAGTTGCCAGTGTACTCCTTAGCAGTGACACCCAATTTTCTAAATTGTCTAGCAGCCAATTGCACAGTGCACCTAGGAGTCTGGGCTGGAAGCTAAGAACAGAGTAAGCTGTGGAACTAAAGATCAGCATTCATGAGCTGCCAGTCTGAAGTCCTTGGATAAAAGGAAAAAGAGTTTCAGAATTCACTTTGAAGGACTGTTCATGAAGGATCTGAAATACAGAACACAGGTGTGAGACCTATTGTCCAAAGTCCACAGACAGTAGACGCAGACCTGTTTCCTGGGGAGTGAAGGTAGGCCTTACCCAGGGTGACAGAACTGTCATTCGCCTTGAACTTCTCAAGTTTCCTGCCTTCTGTTTCATCAGTTAGCTATTAGAAATGATTCAGCATAAATTTTTGTTTGTTAATCACTGAAGGCAATCTGAGATGCACATTTCAAGTAAAATCATAGTATTGTGAACCTATACTATCTAATATTTCAGTGTTGTTTCTGCTATTTTTGTAGCTTTCTTACATTCTTATCTTACTGATTTTAAGCGTTCTTCTGCTCTTGATAGATTACAGAGGCTCCAATTAAACTTTGGAGTTTATGCATGTGATAAAATCTAATACAACATGTGC